ATGCGCGGCGCGGAAGCTACTGCCTGCGCTTAGATAAACAAGCAACGCCGCCTCCCAGCAACACCTGGTTCCGCACGCGCCTTAGAACTGGAGGGCCTTCTTACTGAACATGCGCAGCTCCTGCCTGTGACAAGAGCGGGTCCAGCTGGTACTCCCACGCCCAGATCCAGGCGGAGAGGAAAGGGTGGAGGGGCCAGAGCAACTCCAGGCTGTACCTGAGGCGGGAAGTGAGAGGAGACGCGCAAGACCCAAGAGGAGCCTTTGGCGTGAGGGCCTTTGCCCGACACCACCCAGTCTGTCAGCTTCCTCGAGAGCTTGGGTTTTAACTCGTGTAAACATAACGAGAAGACTTAAAGGGTCGAGCACTCCAGATTCTGCCTGAGGGTGTGTACACACATGAAGTGAAACTGTATGTATAACATCAGGACAGTGAGAGAGGGATGACAGGCCCCTTCAGCCGAGAGCCCGAGGGGTTAGTCAGCGACGACACCTCAGAAGCCGTGCCCCTCCGGATGACGTCAACAGGAATACCGCCCACTTCCCCCTAGCCCCGCCCCTTTTTGGAGGCTGCCTGAAGTCGAGCTCTTCCCACGCCCGGTCAGCTACTGGCGCATGGAAAACCTGGACAGCGGAACCGCCAACAGCATAGCAACAGCCAGCTGGGAGTATGTATTAGGAAGTTGGGACTCACTGTAGCCAACCCGATCACGCCTTTGGACCCCATGGTGTTACTCTCGGCCAATGGAGAGCCGCCTCATGCCACGTGATGCATGCATCTCTTTCAACCAATGAGGAGAAAGTCTAGCTGCGGGCTCAGCCAACCCACCTCCCCGTGCCTCGCCTTGCTGGCGTTGGCTCCGCGTAGTCGCTGCCAACCAATCGAAGGCGAGCTGATGAATGACGAAGGCTTAGGATGAACCAATCAGCGCTCGCGATTCCCTTGCCTCCGAAGGTCGGATGTGTGGAGAAGGGGCTGGGCTGGTGGTTTGGGAGGGGCAGAGGTTGAGGGGATGTTGTTGTACCCGGTTCTGGCAACAGAATAAGATGCGTTGCAGGCGAGGGTGATGAATTATGCTTTTAAAGTTGTCTCCGTGGCATTCTGCCTGAATGATGGGCATGGAAAGTGCCCAGGGATGCGGGCTGGATCGTGGGCTGAATTGAAAACAGGGACTTTTGTCTTTCGAATGGGACATTTTCCAATCCTTAAGGAGACATCGTGCAGCAGCTGCACTCATCCTCCCTGCATGTCTCCTAGAACATTAAATAATATATATGTATTTTACTACCCATTTAAAAAAAAACTTAGCTTCTGTCTCTAGGTTTAGATCTTAGTTGCACACCGTCTCCCACTTACAACGTTAAATTTACGAGACGTTAACTACACACGCGTTCCTGGATATTTTTCGTAACATCTGGTTATTGGGTTTATTATGTCCTTCTCAAACTAGTCAACCCCTGGCAATTACTAGCTCACCTTTCTTGGGAATAGTAAATGATCTGTGGTTTGAATATTAGATATTGGCATACCTCGCCATTGTTCCTCTTTCCCATAGGGGCTTCAACAGAGAGAATTTTGGTCTGAGTTCCTTTAAAAGCCAGGCTTTTAAATTTGTTTTAAGCCATCCTTTCCGTCAATCAAACTATTACAGAGATGTACTACTCAGCTTTAGCAGTGATCTACTGCCCTGTTGCTCCATTATGTTAGAATGATAAACTTTTGTGTTGTTTTCCAAAATATATTTTTGTTTAAAATATTTGAGGGCAAGTATCTTGTCAAATTAAAAATGTGTGATGAAATATAACTCACTTATTTTTTGATTACATATCATCAAAATATGAGAGGTTGTATCTTATGTTAGCATTAAAGGCATATTGTAAAAAGAACAAAGAATCAGGCATGTTTGAAGGGAAATGAGATTGGAAAGGATTTGGTATGTTAAGCTAATAGCGTGAAAAGGTGATTTAAAATTAAGAGAGCTTACGTGGATAATTCATATCAGACCTACTTTGATGGTGATATTTCAAGAGGATGGTGTAGTTATATTCATTGTTTATCAAGCTTTTTAGGAGTATCATATTTGTGTAAACTAGTATGATTATTTTTTGTTATTTTAACAAAGTAGCTACACTTCTGAAGAAATACAGTTTATTTTAAAATGCAAGTTGCACAACTTGGTGGTAAGTTTCTGGGCTTTGTTGGAATTAAATAGAGCAGAGAAGCACCAAACTTTATTTGTGTAAATTATGACAACCCATTAATTCCTTGCATTCCAATGAATTGAAGTTCATTCACTCACTTTGCAAGATATAGAAGTTCAGTGATTTTTTTTTTTTCATAAATTTACATTGGGGTTGTGGGCCCAAAAGACAGCATAAGTAACTTTTTCCAACCAGGTCTCCAGAAGTCAGGAAGCTCTGAATTGCAATTCATCTGATAGAATTTGTCATAAAAAATAAGGAGTGGGCTCGCTACTCATTCCATTTAGCATAATGGAGAGTAGGAGAGCTCTGTGACATTTCTCAGGATGTTTTCCCTGACCTTTCATCAATGCCAACATTTTGGGTAAGGGGAAATGTAGGGACTGCAGCCCATGCGTTGGTTGCAGCTCATTTATGTTTTTCATATTGATAGACACAGTTTTCATTTTCAGTGCCATAAAGGCAAATATTTAACCAAGTGGCAAAAGACACCCCAAGAAGTAGGCACATATTTTCTCGCCTTTTATGGCATGGAAGATGGTCCCCACCTGATTCGTAACCGTATATGAAATGTTGGTTGAAAGATTAGCTGCTATAAGGGTGTCAAGACGTGTACAGAATCTTGAAGATATGGACGGGAAATGATTATTTATTTCTTGATCCCTTGTTTAAGCATGTTTATTCCTGTGCCAGCATAAACTTTATTCTGAGAGTGGTCTTAGAAATAAAAACTTATATGTCTTTATTCATTGTTTATGGAAAAAAATAAAAATGATATAAAGTGGAATTGAATTTTCCCCAAGAGCTATAAAAATCTGTAAGATCATGAAACCTGAACAGTGTACGTTGACGCCACAGGGTCTCTAGTTTCAGAAGTGCATTGCTGGGAGAAAAAAAAAAAAGAAAAAGAGAAAACTTCATTTCTTCTCTTCCCACTGATTCTGAAAGGGAGTTATCTCACCTATATCCAGATACCCTCAATTGTCACACTTGCGTTACTATGGAAACCCAACTCCTTTCTTTCTGTGAACAATGTTAGAAAAGGTGGAATGAAATGGGAAATACACTGTGTTCTGGGACTTCCTCCCACCAGCAAAAATCAAGTATGCAAAAAATTAATATAAACAAGTCCACAGAACACATTTGTGATATGACCAGTATTTCTTGGCTATAAAACCCTGATTTCTATTGCTTCTTATTAAAGCCTGTCTGTGTCTGATGAACCAAAAAGGGAAAGGACACATCAAATACATTTAGCACCTTTGAAATGCCCCTGGCAATTGTAAAGAGAGCAGATGACATTTTCTTGGCCTCTGAGACTGCTAATACTGTTGAGAAAGATGTATGTAAGAAGACTGGGAAGGAAGGGGCAAAATAAATATGTTCTTTTGAAAATATGGTATGTCTTAGTGCTTTTGAAAAGAAAAAGAATTGGAATGCAGAAATCGAGCATGTGAACAAGTCAATGAAAAAAAAAAACTTATTGATTGAAAAGCAACTGTTTCAAGAGTTAACTTTAAGCAGAAAAAACAATTCTGGGGGAAAAAAAAGACTTAATGAATAAAATACAGGGAGAAAAAAGAAAAAGCCAGAGGAATCTTAAGAGCTGGAGGGCTCTGAAAAAAACCAGAGCTTTAGTGTGCTTCATTTACCGTAGCAGAAGAGCAGGCACAATGTTGCTTGTATACTCAGCGGTTTCCCTTTACTTCTGCCAAAAAAGTTGGGATGAATCAGGATTGGCTGTTAATAGCAATGCTTTCCCCTTTGCCCAAGGTTAGTCTAGAAATAGGCATGTGGCTCAATTCTTGTCATTGGAATGGAGAGAAGGCTGCTGGAGGAGAAGGGGAGATATCTGGAATTCTGACATGAATGAGGAGCCATTCTTAATTTTTTGACATCGCAAACATTCCTTTTGTAGTTTTAGTTTGTTTGTCTGTTTTTTTGTTTTTGTTTTTGTTTTTTGGACATGGAAATACACAAATATGGCACCATCTTTGGGCTGTGATACTTTATGGCTAATTAGAAATGCAGTCAACTTTGGACAATGAAGAGAGAGATGTGAAGAACCTAAGCCTTGGATGCCAACATTGGACTGTCAAACCCACACAGGAATTCCCTGCCTTTGGCCTTATGGCTAAGCAATCAGCTGGTGTCTATTGATCCAATCCATGTTAGTTAGGTTTTCTGTATCCTGCAGTCAGGTATATACGTATTGTTATAAAAAGTATGAGCGATTCCAGACAAAAATGGTGTTTTAAAGAAAATAACAAGCATTTGTGAGCATGTTCATCCTACCAATATTCTGAATGGTATTTCAACTCTATTATTATATGTATGGAGCACTTACTATGTATATTTTTCTAGGCTCTAGGCATACGATAAACAACTGGCTGAAGGAACTTATATCCTAGCAGGAGAGACAGACATTAAGCAACAAATTGTACATATTTATATTATGTAATAATGGCTATAATGAATGCTAGTAAGAAGAAAAATTCAAGGATTAGAGTTTATTAAGCATATAAATGAATAGGGTCAGCTCTATAGCCTATTGGTTAAGGGTGCTGGATCCCACATGGCTGACCATGGTTCAAATCCCATCTCCAGTGGTTTGAAAAATATGCCAGATATACACATATGTGTGCCCTAATTCCAACAGGATGCAGAAATAGAGAAGGGATTGTGGTGTGACTGTATCCCTTGGGAAGTGCTCTCTCTCTGTCTCTCTGTCTCTGGCAAGTACACATGCGCTCTGATGATTAAATATATGTATATATATGCATGTATTATACATATATATGTACACATATATGTATATATATCACATAGTATTACAAAATATATAACTAAATAACTGAAAAATAACAAAAACACTTTTCAAGTACATGATATATTAATGTAGTTTATCCATGAATTTCTAGAACAAGGAATAAATTGGAATGGATTAGTTAAGGAAAGCTGTCTGAAGAAATTACTGTGGAACCAGGTTTTGAAGGAAGTGGAAAAAAGACAGGATAGATGGGGCAGAGAGGAGCACTCCAGATGTAAGGAGCAGAAAGAAAGCAGGAGTAAAGTATGAATGAAATAAGGAAATACAGAATCACTTGAATTTTAATTCCCTGTAGTAACAACATTCTAGGGACACCTTTCAGGGAAAAAAAAAAACGTCGCAAAGCAAGATTGAAAAAGGTATGAAAATAATACAGGGAAAAATAATACAACAGAAAAAGTAGGAGTACTTTTTAGTATGCATTTACAATTAAGGCATTCTTCAAATAATGAATAATTTATAACATGGCTATCATAAAAGAATTGCCATAAGAAGTAATTATGGACTTGAGGGCATGAAGGAGGAGGGAATTAAACTTTTACTAATAGAAGTAAAAAAAATGAGTAGCAAAAAGTGAAGACAGGCAGGAAAACAGTTTTTCTTTACAGATTTCTTAATGGTTGCTGTTATTGACATGCATTATGTAAAAAGTGAATAGAATTTGATTGAAAAGAAAATTTTCAATAGACCAGTAATAAACAAAGATAGTCTTTTTGATGAATAATATAATTTAAAATGCTTTCTCTCGAATGCCTTTTTGTACTCTTCTGTAGAAAACCTTTTTAACAATAAAGCTGTAAGTAATACTAAGTGGCACTTTTGGCAAAGCATTTTGGAAATAAACCCATAGATTTTCTAAATGCAATAGTGGATCAGCAATAATACTTGTAAATAAAATCAGAAGTTTATTAGGCATGTTATTT